CATGTGCCCCACGCACCCCACCTTTGATTGGAGATTTTTATTATCACTGTCTGTTTGGCCCACGCATGTGCTGCTGATAATCGTGCCCAGCAGTAAGGCTATGTCAGGCTGCATGGGCAACCTGCTCTCAGTTCCTTCTCCACTGCATCGGCCTGCCACTGAATTTATCATGTGTGCATGTGCATTCCTCATGCAGAGTTTGTTCTACTTAGGGCTTGTCTAAACTTAGTGTTGCATCAGTGCAGCTGCGCTGCTGTAGCACTATGCCATCAGGAGAGCTTCTCCTGTCGGCATAGGTATTCCACCTCCCCAAGGTGTCACTATGTCAATAGGAGAAGCCTTCCAGTAGACATAACTCCTGATGTATACAGTGCTACGTCGATATCACTACATTGTTTGGGGGTGTGGATTTTCCACACCTCTGAGCAACGTAGTTATAAGGACATATGTTTTTGTAGTGTCGACCAGGGCTCACTTTGTTAGTTGTAAGTAGTTATTGGTTGCTGAAAAGATTTTTATTTCCTCCACGGAAATCTCGCTGACACAGGCCTTTCCAGTTCACCAAGGTTTAAATTACCTCATGTAGAGAGGCTATCCCCAGTCAGTGACGCGCACTCTAAGTGTGTTTGCTGCTTGGGAGAGTTGCACATCCCACAGAAGTGCAACTTCTGTTTGGCCCTCAAATTCAGGTCACAAAATAACCAGGAAACCAAGCTGTAGCTGTTGTTAATGAAGTGCTCCTTTTGCTCTGCTTTGGATTCGTGTCAGGAAAAACCCCTGTCCATCAGTCTCCGGAGGTCTCTAGTGCCCCTATGACTTCATTGCAACACCTTCCTAGAAAGGGGAAAGGCTCAGACCTTTAAAGATCCTAAAAAGAGCTCACCCACCTCAAAAAGGCTTAGCTGCTCAACCAGGTCAGCAGCCTCAGACACTCTGTTCTCAAGGCTTGGTACCATAGAGCTCCTTCGATACCAGTGAGGACAGAGCTACAGAGTTGGAGAGATTGGGGCCTTAATGACAGACCCTCCTTTCACAGTATTCTACAACGACAGAGTTTCCTTACAACCAGACTTCAGGTTTTTTCCTAAAGTATCTTCTGAGTTTAATCTGTATCAATCATTTACCTAGGAGTTTTCTTTCCAAAACCACATTATTCCAACCTGGAGACCACACTCCATACTCTAACACCATCCTGACATCTAGTTCCCTATCTAGATAGGAGATATACAAAATGGTTTAGTCTTAGACTGTTCGGTTTTGTTAGCAGAACTTTCAGATCTGTCTGCAATTTCTATCCAAAGACTATGAAAAATGGATTTTGGAGTGTATTAAGCCAGCATTACAACTCCTGCTGGGATGTCAGCTTATTTGACAAGGTCACAATCTACATCTATGGCTCTACTTAAGTGTCCCAGTTGCTGAGATCCACAGAACTGCCACATGATCTTCAGTACATACCTTCTCCAGGCACTATGCCTCAGCTGATGCTTTTAGATCTGATGAGGCAGATGACAGTACCTAAGAACAGCCATACTGGGTCAGACCAAAGGTCCATATAGCCTGGTATCCTGTTTGACATTGGCCAATGCCAGGTGCTTCAAAGGGAATAAACAAAATAGGCAATCAAGTGATCCATTCCCTGTTGCCCATTTCCCAGGCTCAAGCAAACAGGCAGGGTGGATAGGGATGGTGTCCCTACCCTCTGATAACTGTTGATGGACCTATCCTCCATGAACTTATGTAGTTATTTTTTGAATGCTGTAATAGTCTTGCCCTTTACAACATCCTCTGGCAAAGTGTTCCACACGTTTACTGTGTGCAGTGTGAAGAAATACTTTGTTTAAAACAAACCTGCTGCCTATTAATTTCATTTTGTGACCCCTAGGTCTTCTATTATGAGGAGTAAATAACACTTCCTTATTTACTTTCTCCTTCTTTTCTCTGTTCTGAACTCAATTCTAAAGCTTCCTCCTCCTCCTTAGGGAGGTACTGCGTGGGAGTCACCTGACAAAGAGATTATTCACCCTGTGCAGTAACTGGTTTTTTGAGATGTTCCCCTATGGGTGCTCCATTACCTGCTCTCCTTCCTCTCTGCTTCCAGGCTTCCTTCTGAGGCTCAGTGTTGGAGAAGGAACTGAGGGCAGTTTGCCCATGTAGCCTCATATAGCCTCAGTGCGGAGCACAAGGATATCAGCAGTGCATGCGCAGGATGAAGGGATACTACTAATGAAAATCTTCAATCATCGGTGCATGGCGTGCATGTGCACCTGAAGTGGAGAACCCAGATGGGGACACATCTTGAAGAACCACAGTTGCTGCTTTTTGTCATAATTTCAAGTTTAATTAACAGGTTTATTTTTAAAAAGAAAAATGGACTTAATATAAATTTTTAAAAAATCAAATTTAAATTAATCTTTTTTTAAATGTATCTGTTTTTATTTATCCTATCTAGACCTCACTTAGATGAGGAGGGAGGTTCCATAGTTTAGATCTCAAGATGTCCACAAGTTCTTCTCTGGGCAGGACCAAACCTTATAAGAATTCTGTTGTTTGTGGGATTTTGGAGGAGGGGGGGAAGGAAGCCCAAAAGGGAGGTAATCCTTGCCCCAATTATGCAACTAGGAAAAGAGCCTACTGTACGTACACATCTGTTACCCATCAGGCAAGAAGCCCACACAAGGTGAATAAGGCCCTAGTTGTTAGAGAAATTATCAATCTTTTTTCACCTGTAGCTGAATCATTTTTTTGCTAAAAATTTCCATAATTTGTGGCCGGGGTTATGCTGGAGGTGGTACTTCAGAGATTTACCATCTCAGGCCTCCTTCTGAACTTAACTTTAATTAAAAAAAAAAAAGGCATACAAAAAACTACAAAATTTCATTGTGTAGAAGGAAGCTCACTTACCAGTAACTGAACTGGCGTTTTCTAAATACACTATCACTGTAGATTCCCACTGACTATCCTTTCTTCCATGTTTCTTTGGAAGTTATTTTTTTAACTCATAGTGAAGATACAACTGAGATATTAAATAGCAGGCCTCCCTTGCAACCACAAACATAACTGCAGAATACACTGGGCCTATCTGTAACCCAGTGGGCATGGAAACCAGAGGAAAAGGGATGAGACCGTTTGTAACAAGCAGCTTAGAATTTAATGAATCATGGCCCTAAAGGTTTTGTTTTAGAATCTGTTGTGAAATTATCACATGTAGATTGAAACCTGTGTTGAGGAATGGGAAGTGTCTGGGATTCTTGCACCATCAATTGTATAACTGTAGAGTACTAAACTCTCTCAGCATACTGGTTTATGAATTTTTGGCAAGATGAAAAAGGTAGTGCCTGAGACTAGGATAGTCTAATAATTCACCCACATACAATAGAGCTCAGTCTAGTCTAGACATTCAATCTTGAAGCTGGGCTACCAAACATCAGGTTTAACAGTAGTTAATAAACTATTTCTTAAATGCTTGTCCTGCTTTAATTTCTGGGTGAAATTTTCTTGGATGTTTTTTTTTTCTGAAGCTGATCTGAGCTGTTTTAGTATACCCTTAAGTACATTCTTAGAGTTCTGGGAAAGGTAGCTTACATATCTAGTCAACATTAATTTTGCTGCCTTAAGGGTGAACTGTAGAGGAAAAAGAAAACTTGTGACTTTTATTGCCTATTTAATATATAAAGTGCCTCAAAGTGTGCAGTTGTCTTATACTGAAATCAGGTACTGATGTTTAAGCTTTTTGCTCTCTGGGAGACCCGATTCACCTTTCTTTGATGTCATTATAGTGTTGATTATGTTTATAGATCAAAAAGAAATAGGGAACAGCACTCTTTTGTTTGCCAGCTCACCTTTAAACTGGCTACATGGGAGGTTGAACCTCGTCTGTAGCTGTATGGGCTAGTTAATATGGAAACACCATTCTTAATTAATAAAAATCTTCCTCATTTCTTGAAGAATGATTTAAAGGGTATTTCCATTTTTTTCTATGCTGTTTTTCAAGATATCAGGGAGTAAATAACTTCTGTAGCATACTGTTTCCTGCGATAGGTTGTGTGCTGTTTTAAACTACTGTAGTCATAAGTACAGGTGATACTATTTGTATACAAGGCTCCTGTTGGATTCGTTAACAAAGGCCTTCTAGATAGTTTGGTTAGAGTTTGGAGATTTGTTTAATGGAAAGACAGCTGTAGAGAGCATGTTTTTCAATTTTCTGCGTGATACTTTTTGGAGAAAGGGGGCAACTTGACAATGTTTGTTTAGAAGACCTGACTTCACGTAGGGATTACACATGTGATCCTCTATTCCTGTTCTTGTTCAGTGGGAACTGAGCTGCGAACACACTTGTGTTCTGGGCAGGATAAAACTTTCCTTCACAAGCATTCTGATGCCATAGCCGCTATATGGGTGTGATCAATAGTGAGCTGTGTCCTAGATGGAGTCACACTTTTCTTTTTGTTTAAAAACATTCAGATGTAGTTATTTCAATAAGTTAAATATCGGTAGCCTACTAATTTAAAATGATATGTTTACCTCTAACTTGCTTTTGAAATGGGGATAACTGCTTGAATATAACTCATTTGGTATGGGCTAGGTGGAATAGTGGGTTATGCAGTTAGTAACCTTTCATCTTTTGAGACCTGGGTTCAAATGCAGCTTCTGTCACAAGTGAAAGAGCTTTATGAACACCTAGTCTTTCATATTCATGTATTTGCAAAACCAGTGTAATTTGGCCCCATTGTTGTCCCTCAAGAATGCTGTGAGTCCAGATCATGATGGATTTGCACTTCTGGGTGGCGGGAAAATATATGCCATATATTTGTCAATTATACTGTGCCTCACTCCTGCTGTTCTGTCACTGTTATAAATATTAAAATCTTCCCTGTTCCAAAAAAGGAACATTTTAAATCTGTTGAACAGTTGTTTTTAGAAATAATGGTTTTTCGATAGGTTTTTATGATTTTAGTGATATAGTACAAGAATTTTTAAAAGTTCCTTTGTTTTATTAGGAGTCCACATCTCCAGTTGTTTCACCACAGCAGTCCCCACCAACCTCTCCACATACATGGAGGAAGCACAACCGCCATCCCAGCGGAGGGAATAATGAACGACCTCTTGCTGGACCTGGGCCTTTTTGGGCTCCATTTAGTGAAGCACAGCCAGGTATAAATGTCTTATGTTCTCCTTCAAGTGTTGCCTGACGTTGTGGGATTTTAAAAAAAGAAAAGCTGAAAGTTTAGGTCAGCTTAGATTTACATTTTCAGAATGGACAGAATAAGTAGCAGAAAAAGGACAGGAATATGAAGTATCTCTCTACACAATTAACAAGTGCAGCTCAATTGCAGTTCACTCTGTTAAATTGGTGCCTGCCAAAACTGCATGATCTGCAGCACGGCTGGCAGGCTCATTGCGTAAGTCTGATGTGGAAAATGCTCAAAAATGTGGCAGGAGGGAGAGGATGGAACAGTTGCATGTGTCCCTAAAGGATATTTATAGCAGTATAAAACTGACATGTTCTACTCCTGGGGGAATTCTGTACCAAAAAAACAAAAATTTTGCAGATATTTTAAAATTCTGCATATTTTATTTGTCAAATTAACACAATATAATAATGCCAGTTTCAGTTACTTTAATTTATTTCAAAATACCTGTCAGCAAGTATGTCTGTAACAATACAGACCAAAAAAATAAAAAGATTCAAGAAGTTTTTTTTTTTTTTTTTTGACAAATAGATTCCTTACTAGGCATATTAATGCAGAACTTTGAGTAATTCATTTAAACTACAATCCAGAAATTTATTTCCTGCACCCCGCAAAAGCAGTGCAAAGGCTTGGGGGGAGACAAGGGTAACAGAGGAGATGACTGAGCGGGAAGGAGCCTAGAGGTGAACCTGTAGTGTTGTTGGGTGTGGGTGGGACAAGTATGAAACAAGAATTTGGGGGAGGAGTATTATTAGAGAGTTAGGGAACCTCCCCAGTGCAGACCCTGGCTGACCGCTAGCCTCTCCCATTCAGTCAGGCACATCTGCCTCCAATCCCCATGTGGTCCTGCACCCCCCAGTACCCATGTGGCCCTGCAGCTTCCCTTCCATTCAGCCCCTGCCTCAATGCTGTCACTAGCTTCTGAGCCTAGGCCTCAGTCTGTCCCCCCTACTGGCCCTTCTGAACCCCAGTCTGTGACACCCCCACCCAGCAGTCCTGTGTGCCCTGCTCTGACTGTCCCATGCTTCCTCGCCTGCCCCATTGTGAGGAACACCGCCTCCCATCCTCCGTCTGTCTGCTGGTTGCCCTCTCTTTTGGCACCACAGCAGCCCCTGGTGGGCAAAAGGTGTAATTGCAGCGCCTCTCGAGCAGAACTGTATTCTGCAGCGGGGAAAAAAATATCTGGGGCAAAGAGGGGACATGAATTCTGCATGTGTCCAGTGGCAGAGAATTCCCCCAGGAGTAATGTTCCTGAAACTAGCGGTAATCTTCCCTATCACTGTGTAAAAATGCAGCTTGAGGGGAAAGCAATAACACTACTATACTGTATGTTTTGAACTGTGCTTTTCTTTCTTAGAGTAGGTTAAATGAACTTGTCAGATTTTTTTCAAAACTGATACACTTCTTAATACTTTGAGTTTTTACTTTCTCTAGAACTTGTGTATATTTAAGATCCACATTCTTAGGGTCTTGTGGTTTGAGTTATGTTATGGTGGACTAATAGTTTGATACTCTGTGTGCTGGTACATCCTGTAGGCCTGTGTTAATTGTTACTTTTTGAATAGTAAAGAAATATAGTGTCTGATCCCAGTGTTTCTACAAGTTCCTTTTTTTTTCTCCTCCCCCTACTGTTCCCAGGTTTTCTACTTCTAAGTAAATCTTAATTCAGGTTACACTTATGCTTTTAGTATTATTTCTTGTTACAATATATTATATTTTAAATTAGCATTTGGATTATTTTTTTATATTTAATTTGAATACTTATGATTAGTAAGGTGTATTATAATTGGCCCACTATTTTTCAGTATATCCTTTATTGTAGTCACGACCATACTTTGAGGACCCAGGAGCTTCTTATGTGAGAATTGGTTGAAGGTATTTTCTTGAGCTGTCAAGTCCTAAGAAAAGACTAAAATTTTGTTTTTATTTTCAGGGACATATAGAAAGCCTAGATCATATGCAGAGGGTTGTGCCAATGATGTTGTCCCAACAAGTATCATGCCCTAGTAGTTAGGCATGCTTATACATTATCTGATATAAAGATCATACAGTTTCTTCTTTGTGCACATGCCATACATTTGAGTACCACAGAATAGGTTTAGTCAAACTGTTGTAAAAGCCCTAGCTAATTTGCAATTTTTAATGGATAAATTGACTTCCATCTTCACCCCTGCACATAGTAGAATACTTGAGAACCTAGATTCTTACAGGCTCAAATGCAGATGAGCTTTTTCTGGTGGCTGTCTTGCAGTTTTCAAAGCTGTGGACTCCAGGCATTCGTCAGTAACTTGCTCTTCATCCATTTTTCATAACTACAGTAGTTTGCTGCAGAATTACATATTAATCAGTCAGTTCTGGCAAAAATATTCGGGTGATGCTTATTCAGTGAATTAACTTACTGACTCTAAAAAGCTGTCAGAATTAGACCAAAAACTCAGTCCTCTTAAATTCTGTCTTTTGTCACTTCCTCCAGATATTTCCTACACTGAAACGCTGTTTATCATATTCAAAATTGTTCATTGCAGCGGGATTATCTGTATTGCTAATGCTATCTCCTATCTCTAGTTTCTAGCTAGAATAGGTTTTAATATTCTGCTGTAGCTCAGGGCAACCCATGTCCATCCTGATTCAGAGTGGAAAGACTTTTCTTGACCCAACTGGTGCCTTGGTATGAATCATAGCTGTGCTTTACACACACAAGGGTGTGTGTGTGTGTGTGTGTGTGTGAGAGAGAGAGAGAAGTGGTGATCATACTCTTATTTAAGTGAGGGTCTAATAGTACAGGCTAGAATGATGGTGTTGGCCAGTGCTCCGCAAAATTCCAAATCCAGCTCTTCCAATAGACCTTAGTCCTAACCTTGGAGATTCCCTTCCTGTTTCAGTCTTGAGTCTCTCTTGAATAATCAGCTAACTATGTCAAATTGAGTCACTTTTCTGTTATGTTCCAAAAGTTCCAAGAGGGTTTAAAGATGAGACCACAATATTTTCACTTGTAATCCAGACAGGTGATCCAGGTCTCTCTAGGTATAAGTCCAGTGTGTCAAATGCTAGGATTTAGAGAGGATTCTCTTGATATTTAGGACTAATTATTAGTGTTACCTTTTTGCAGGGAACAAGTCATTGCCTGTGTCCCTGTACTACCTTCTCCTCAGGATCTACATTGAACCCTTCAATGTTTAAGAATATTGAACTTAATTCACCCAAGAAAAAAACATTATCTATTTTAGTTACCCATCTGGCCTCCTGTTACTATAGTATCTGAGCACGATAGTCTTTAGTACATTCATCATTACAATACCCCTCTGAGGCATGGAAAGGCTTTTACCTCCGTTTTACAGATGGGGAGCTGAGAACCAGAGACTGTATTCCCCAAGCTCATTCAGGAAGTAAAGTAGGACAGGGACTTGAACCCAGGTCTCCATATCCTAGGCCAGTGCCTTAATCCCGGAACTATCTTTTCTGCTGGTATTAATCTTCCATTTGTCTTTTCCAGTTTCTAAAGGAATGCCTTAGCCAAGCTTCATGCTCCTTTGATCATTTAATTATTCTGTGTGTTGACGGCCAAGTCAAAGCATAGACCCAACTAACATCTGGGTGGTGATGTACGGAACTGATTCTTACCAACCCTTTTATAAAGTACGGAATAGTGCTAGAGTTTGGAAAGCTGAAAGACTTTTAGCCGAAATATGGTAGATTAACTCTTTCCTGGTGCTAGTAAACTTGCACTAGTTGGACCTCAATAACCAAAGTGTATGAACTCTTTGTTTAAATATATTGTCACCTGCGTGTGCATTGGAAAACAAACTCTTTAATTCATGGGTGTGTTGTGTCACCCCTCAAGGAATAAAAACTATACTGTTCTCAGATTTGATATTGTCTATATGCTTTTTAGGACCAGTACCAAAATTGGATTACTAGATCAAGGGGCCAGTGATAATTTTAAGGTCCAATATTCCTTTTACTGTCAGGGTTTGAATTGCACGTCTCACGCTATTTGGAAGCTGTGGTTCACACCTTTCTGAAGACAGGACTGTTACTGTTGCCTAGGCAGAGTGAAAGATTGGATCTTACAGTCATATTCTGATTATCATCTTGCTGCCTGGTACTTCAGTTAGGACACCATTTTAGTGTGATCTTGTAGTTTGCTAGAAGCTAAGGGTTTTGTATAGTCTTAGAGGATCTTGGATTTGTGTCCTTTTGTTTGATATAAAAAGGCCTGAAAGGTGTGTGCAAGCTTTTCTTTTTTTTACCTTAAATTCAGGAATGTAAAGTCTTGTCTCTGCTTGATTTTGCTGGAATAGTTCTTGGAGGCCCATGTGGATTCCCACCCCCAATTAAGTGGTAGAGTTTATTCTAACAAAAGTCTGTTCTCCTGAGTGTTTCTCAGGAATTTGAATTAAATAGATGCTAACAAAATGGGTTTAAATAATCAGAATAAAATTGCTTCCCTTCTCAAACTAAGCTTCAGTTATTGATCTGTCACAAACATAGTACTACTCCAGTTCTCCAGAGTTTCCCGGGAAAAAACAAAACGATGCTTGAATTTCTTATGAAAAGGAAACAGGTTCTCCTTCCACACACACAAAAATCATGCCTTTATACCTAATCAAGAGCAAAAACAGCACAAACTTTTTTTTCCTTTTGCATGGCAATTTAAACTCCAGATCCAGCAGCTAGAAAGTTGGCTGCTAAAAGCTTTTCAGAAATGAAGTGATGGTTGAAGTTGCATGGCAGAATAAGATGGTAATCAAGTGACACCATTTTAAGGTCTGTTACTTCATAATATAATAGGGCTAGAAATGGAACCTTTACCAAAACAGTTTCCTTGGGAACTTTATCAGTGTGGCATATGGAGTGAGAGGAATTAAAGCCCATTCCACATAAACTACAGCTCAGGGTGGATTTGATTTAAATCAGATTGATTTAAATCACTAGGCAAGAAGACCCGATTTAATCATGGAT